CCCCATGATTCCAATCATGGAATCATAGAATCATAGAGTTGGAAGAGACCTCATGGGCCATCCAGTCCAACCCCCTGCCAAGAAGGAATATTGCATTTGTTTTTTTTTTTTTTTATTTTTTTCTCCTTTTTTTCTTTTTTTTTCTTTTTTTGAGACCTTGTGGGCCATCCAGTCCAATCTGCTGCCAAGAAGCAGGAAAATTGCATTGAAAGCACCCCCAACAGATGGCCATCCAGCCTCTGTTTAAAAGCCTCCAAAGAAGGAGCCTCCTCTACACTCCAGGGCAGAGTTCCACTGCTGAACAGCTCTCACAGTCAGGAAGTTCTTCCTAATGTTCAGATGGAAACTGGGTTCCACATTTGAAGAGAGATATTGACAAGCTGGAATGTGTCCAGAGGAGGGCGACTAAAATGATCAAGGGTTTGGAGGACAAGCCCTATGAGGAGCGGCTTAAAGAGCTGGGAATGTTTAGCCTGAAGATGAGAAGGCTGAGAGGAGACATGAGAGCCATGTATAAATACGTGAGAGGAAGTCATGGGGAGGAGGGAGCAAGCTTCCTTTCTGCTTCCCTGGAGACTAGGACGCAATGGAGCCATGACTTCAAGCTACAAGAGAGGAGATTCCGTCCGAACATGAGGAAGAATTTCCTGACTGTGAGAGCCGTTCAGCAGTGGAACTCTCTGCCCAGAGTGTGGTGCAGGCTCCTTCTTTGGAGGCTTTTAAATAGAGGTTGGATGGCCATCTGTCAGGGGTGCTTTGAATGCAACTTTCCTGGCAGGGGGTTGGACTGGATGGCCCACGAGCTCTCTTCCAACTCTAGGATTCTATGATTCTATGCTTCCTCTTCTGTGTAAGCCTCATTGGTTTCCATCCCAGAACGACATCTCGGCTCCTCCCATTCAGAGCTATGAGACAAGGACACATTTCCTTCTGCCAGCAACACATCAAAAAAGTAGAATTCTTTCTATACCCATATTGTTTACTTTTCTTGCCAAGGATCATTGCTACCAAAACACATGTTAGTGACTGCTGGGCCCAGTACCTGCCTCTGTGTCCTAGGGCAATGCCTTTGGGGGAACTGGCTGCCATTGTTCCACTTTCTGGGCAAACGTGCCATGCTTCCGGCTGAAGCTCGCCAGCAACCAGTGGAAGAACGAGGGCACATATCCAATTGGCAGAGATTAGCAAAGATTAGCCATCAGGGTGGGAGATTTCTCCCCTTAAGCAGCAGATGGTCTCAGATTGAGTCAGGGTGAACTGAGTCCAATAGGGTTAAGATCCCGCAAGCTGGCCTGGGCTGTCCCATGATAGTGGGCGCACAACGTCCAACGTTGCTCAGATGGAGACCGGGACATGTGTGGCCAAGATGGCAAATGTTAACAGCAGATGAATGTTAAGGTGGGTTTAGGGGGTTCAGTTCAAGACTTGTTAATCATACCCTTGTAATTACGGGCACATCTACAGCAGGAATGGGCAAACTTTGGCCCTCCAGGTGTTTTGGACTTCAACTCCCATAATTCCTAACAGCCTATTGAGGTCTCTTCCAACTCTGATTCTAGATTAGAAAAATTGATTTTCATATTATGTGCAAAAATATGCTAAGGATCCAAGAATAGATGGCAGTGCGCCGTCACACCCAGACCCTATAACATTAAAATTAAGATGTGCTTCCCTCTTTATCTGGGTGAACTGCTGAGGTCTTTCTTTGAAGCAATAACTCAATGCTTTCAGCAACTGATGCCAGTCAAGATATGAACATCAACAAAATATTTATTTCCAAAGTCCTTGGCAGACTTGGCACAGCTTGATAAAGTTACAACACAAACAGTCAATTTGGGAAACCATAGAGATGTTCTTTCCTGTTTGTTGTAGGTTTTTCCGGGCTATATGGCCATGTTCTAGAGGCATTTTCTCCTGACGTTTCACCTGCATCTATGGCAAGCATCCTCAGAGGTAGTGAGGTCTGTTGGAAGTAGGAAAATGGGTTTATATATCTGTGGAATGACTAGGGTGGGACAAAGGACTTTTGTCTGCTGGAGCTAGGTGTGAATGTTTCAACTGACCACCTTGATTAGCATTTAATGGTTTGGAAGTGCCTGGGGAGAAACTTTTGTTGAGAGTGATTTGATGTGCCTGATTGTTTACTCTCTGTTGTTTTGCTGTTGTAATTTTTGAGTTTTTTTAATACTAGCCAGATTTTGTTCATTTTCATGGTTTCTTCCTTTCTGTTGAAATTGTCCACATGCTTGTGGATTTCAATGGCTTCTCTGTGTAGTCTGACATGGTGGTTGTGAGAGTGGTCCAGCATTTCTGTGTTCTCAAATAATATGCTGTGTCCAGGTTGGTTCATCAGTTCTTTCTTTCCCTTTTTCTTCAATTACTGAGGTAACCTTTCTCCAAATGGTAGAAAAAACCCTGAGATATTTCACCCTAACCCTGAGCGGCTATGGTTAGAAAGAACAGGCCTTTCCCTATCTAAGCACAAGGTCAGTTTTGGAGATGAAGTAATGCTCAATAGTACTCAATAACTATTTCTCTCTATTTCTGAATAACTCAATTACTATCTCAATATCTTAATATCTCTCTCTGTAACTCAATAGGCTTCTCTTTATCTCTATATCTATCTATAACTCAATAGTACTCACAATGGGTTTTTCAGAGCTCCCTGCCTGACCAACAGCACATCTGAGGTTCTTTTCTCTACTGAAGAAGGCAGGGGAGATTCCAAAATGGAGATCTCAACCCCAGGAAAAAGGGCAGACTCCAAACCCAAAGAGATACTTTCTAAACCAATAACTGCAGAGAGCCTGCAGCCTGGATTTCCAGACCCTGATACTGTTTAACTTCCAGGGTGCTGCTGGGTCTATAGCAACCCTAGGAAAATGCAAAGGAATGCTATCCCATGCAGCTAAAAGGCAACGTAAAACATGCTCCTGGAAGACAGAACAGGCAGACTGTGATTTATTTGCTTCCATTCTTTTTATTGCTAATGTAGCCTGCTATTGTAAACTGCTATTCTAGGAATTGTGTAATGCTTGCCGTTTACTACATAAGAATAAAATTACGTAATTCTTTTGCATTCCCTTTCCATTCTGGCAAAGGAAGTGTGCACCAATCCTCATGCATGTCACAAGGTATAATGCCTCCATTCTTCACTGGTAGCAACCATCTTTTCCATATTGCCTTGAAAGAGTATGACGCGTTTCTGCTTCTGGTTCATTCGTCTGTCTCCTGCTGTAAGGCTATGGTTTTGCTGGAGCTTTATTTAGAAAGATCCGGTGTCAGAAAGGAAAGTGAAACCCTTGTGGTCAAATGTCATGGAAGGTGTGGGAGCGTAGAGATCTGAGAAAGGAGACTCGCTTCCTCCACCAGCTGGGATCACTTCCCTTCCTGCCAAAGGCCAAAGCTGCACTGATGAGATAAGCAGGGGTTTGTCTGTTTAAACCTGGCATGGGCAAACTTTGGCCTTCCAGGTGTTTTGGACTTCAAATCTCACAATTCCTAATAGCATTGTGGGAGTTGAAGTCCAAAGTACCTGGAGGGTCGAAATTTGCTCATGCCTGGTTTAAACCCAACTCATTAGAAATGCCTTGCTGGCATATCCTCCAACATCTCACATGAGAAATGTGCACTTCTCTAAGACCCGGTATATAGAGTAAGTCACGTTGTGGTGGTCTTTGCGGCCTCCGATGATGGGAGAAGGAGAGGCGGTCCCTAAGGTACAATGTACCCTGGCCGTAAAGAATTTTAAAGGTCAGAACTAACATCTTATACAGGCCACGGTACTCAATTGGAAGCCAATGTAAATGTTGCAGCACTGGTGTTAAATGGCATTTCATGGGCGTTCTTGTGAGTAGCCTGGCTGCCGCATTCTGAACAATACGGTGCTTTTGGGTCATAGACATCGGAAGGTCAACATACAGGGTGTTGCAATAGTCCAGCCTAGACGTGACCGTGGCATGGATGACAGTTGCCAGAGCCTCGTCAGATAGATAGGGTGCCAGTTGCCTCACTTGTCGTAGATGGAAAAAGGCCTGTTTGCTGGCAGCAGCGACCTGAGCTTCCATTGTCAGCTGCGAATCCAGGATGACACCTAAGCTCTTAACAGTGGTCGATGGAGATAGGGCAGCACCATCGAAGGTGGGCAACGGATGAGTCAGACCTGCCGGGCGGCCATGCCAGAGAATCTCAGTCTTCGCCGAGTTCACCTTCAGTCTGTTAGCATGTAGCCAGTTCGACAGAGCCTCCAGACATAGGGTTAAATTGTCTGGAATTGACGTTGCTCCAGGCTCCAAGTGCAGAAGGAGTTGGGTATCATCCGCATATTGGTAGCAGTCCAGACCGAAACTCCGAGCCAAACTAGCAAGGGGTCTAACAGGACCACCTTCCACCTGGAAACCTATGCCCTCACTGCGGGAGAACATGCAGATCAAGAATAGGGCTCCACAGTCACCTACATATCCACCTCCAGTACACCGACCTTGGGGGAGAATCTTACTCAGACAACAAGGGATTGCCTAAGTAGTAGTAGTAGTAAGACACCAAACAAGACCCTCCATAATTGAGGTTCATAGCTTTTAAATTTCGATTTCACTCTCTCCATGTGAAGTGAATGGGCTACAAACTGCCTTTACACTTTGAGGTCCCCATAGCAGCCTAATGCCTTCTCAACCAAGCCTTGAGTAGTGTCATTGCTCACAAAGGGTGGTTGTCCTTGCTTATTATTACCCTTGCCTTGATTGGTTGGCTGGTGAGGACTGAGGCAGGAAGCACTTGATAGACCTTTGCCAGAAACCAGCTTTCCAACCTCAGCAAAGGATAGCAGGAAAGCAGCCAACCTCAAAGAGTTCTGGCACTGCTCTGCCTCCATTTCTGGCTCCAACATTCATGGAACGTTGCTCTCAGCCTCCTTCCCACATCAGCTCCCCAGCTTCCTCTTTTTCCTCTCTTCCTTTAATCGATCCCATTGACTTCTGGGTCTACCACCAAAGGTCTTTCCCATGTGCTTCAAAATCAGAGGATTCTTAATGATCAAGGACAGCCGTGTATTCAAGAAATGGCCGGTGGAGTATCGTTGGGTTGACCCCGAGAGCAGCAAAAGCACTCTCAGTGCATACTTCAGCAGTAGCACCACCGTCCCTAGTTACAAAGTAAATTCAGCCTTACTAAGTGAAGACACAAAAAGTAGAAAGTCTAGCATCTTCCAAGCCATGCGGCGCAACTCCAGCAAATGTGCCAGATATGTGCTAGCTCACTCCGTCGGCCGCTGCCTTCTTTACCCGGGCTCTGTGTGCCTTCTGAATAAAGTGTCGCTATCTTTACTAGTGCACGGTCGGAGGCATCTGATGGAGGATTTCCATGGGAAACGGGCCAAACTAATTGCTCGCGACGGTAACGAGATCGACACCATGTTTGTGGACAGGAGGAGGAAGAAAACGCCAGAAAACCGGGGGATGAGGTTGGTCATATGTTGCGAAGGCAATGGCAGTTTCTATGAAGTGGGCTGCACCTTCACGCCTCTGAAGGCTGGCTACTCCATCCTAGGATGGAACCACCCTGGTTTTGCAAGAAGCACGGGGAAGCCCTACCCGCAGGAAGACATCAACGCCATGGACGTCGTTCTCCAGTATGCCGTATGCCGTCTGCACTTCATGCTGCCGGACATTGTCATTTATGGCTACTCCTTGGGGTGCTACACCGCCACGTGGGCAGCCATGGCTTACCCAGAGCTGGGTGGTTTGGTGCTGGATGCCCCCTTCGACAGCTTGATCCCTTTGGCCATGAAGGTGTTGGGGGAGAACTTGAGGGGCCTGGTGTGGCGGACGGTGATAGAGCATTTCAACCTCAACGTGGCCGAAATGCTGCGCCAGTACCAAGGTCCGGTGCTGCTGATCCGGAGGACCCTGGACGAAGTCACCAGCACCGAGTTCGACCCAAAGACCTCCCTCCCCGTTGCCAGGACCAACCGGGCAAACAATCTGCTCTTGCAGCTATTGCATTCTCGCTATCCCAATATCATCGATGGGGAAGAGGAAGCTGTGTACTTTTGGCTGTCGGCCGACAGCTTTCCTGTGGAAACCCTCATCTATCGCCACTTCTATAAGGTTGATGAGAAATGGTGCTTCCAGGTGCTTGAGAACTACAAAGCCAGCCTTGGATCTGATTGCTCCTTCCCATGGAAAGTGGGGGAAGACCTGATGTCCAGCCAGAAGCAGGAGCTGGCTTTGTTTTTGGCCAAGAAGCACCTGAAGAATGTGGAAGCGACCCACGGAAGTAATTTGCCATCAGAGCTATTTGAGTTGCCCTGGAAGCTCTAGTCAGGCTGGGAAGGTTGGTGGTTTAATTGCAGATGGAAAAAGAGGGAAATAAAAACTAGGGTGTGCTTTGGTTGTGCATCTGTTTGTGAAGGTGCCAGGGTTTGTGGGAAGACTAAAAAGAAGAGGAAGAGAAGGAAATATAAATATAAATATGTGAGAGGAAGCCACAGGGAGGAGGGAGAAAGCTTGTTTTCTGCTTCCTTGGAGACTAGGAAGCGGAACAATGGCTTCAAACTACAAGAGAGGAGATTCCA